TTTTTTTTTGAAGTTTGCGTGATGCAGGGGCTAATCCTCAGAGAACGAGTACCTTTTTCTAGCGGAAGTAGCACGATGTTGAGAATCTTTTAAGGTGAAAAAGTTGACATCTAACATCTGAAATCTTACAATTATTTGCAGATACTTCATGCTCTTCAATGATGGCGCTTTGTTGGGCTTCAAAACGCAACCCAAGTTGGGTCAACCTTTTCCAGAACCGCTTAACGATTTTATGGTCAAGGATGCACAGGTGACAATTTTTGTTTTTGCGCAATCTTGCTTGAAAACAAAGCATCCGTAGACTTTGGTTCTTTAGATAGCTTGGAGTATTTTTGTTGAAATGTGCGAATTTTAATGACAAACCGTGGTGACTGTAGTACGTTCGCGGATAGCATTGTAACAGTACCATAAACTTCACCACGCTAGGTGTTGAGTCGGGTATGAATGATGATGGTCCAATTTTGTTGAGTCGAAAAAGCGGATGCTTCAGGATGCCAAGTAGCCATGCTACTTCCGAAGTATTGCTGATTTTGTCGTCTTTCAGGCCATCCGTTACGAAAAGCCACGGCCAAATATGTTCATGATCCGCGTTCTACAATGGACTACGGTTATCGAGCGCACTTTTTATGCAGAAAGTGCAGAGGTAAAAGCATTTCAACAAAATTTCTCCATTGTCTTTTTACTGCAATTTGCCACCGCAGTTTAGCTAAGAAAGTTCTGATGGTTTCTGAGGATAGCAGTACTGTTGAATTATAGAGGAAAGATTTAGTTACGTGAGAGATGGATATCCGCGATTGAGCTTATCGCCAATAGGTACAGACAACACATGAGTGAAGAACCGCAATCAGCTCAAGAAGAGATGATGGATGTAGTCAGTCAGGTGAGCTGTTGATTGTGTAACCTTTTACGCCGATCTTCCATCCATATTCAAATGATATTTTGCTTTTCGAGGACATAAGTTTACGTCAGCTTGACCAAAAGTGAGCATGATCAACGCTGACGTTAGTCAAGACCTGCAAAGTAGACATGCTATAGGGTTCTGTTTTCAGTGAGATAATCCCACGGAAAGTTTTTTTTTCAAGTAATCTCAACTGATACCGAGCTTGGCTTTGCTGCCATCTCCAAGTGATAGTCGATTTGATCCGAGAATTTCTCCTGTGTTTTATTTGGTGTGTACCAAATGAAGTGGGCTGGACGAAGTCGTGTGGAATATTTATTCACACTGACGATCGGTTGAGAGCATATCGAGATGTCCGGTGTGAACCGAGGAGCCCTTGTTACATTGTGGGTCATTGTATACCAAAGAAGTTGGAGCTGAACCGAGTAGGGGAACGGTCAAAAGGTACGATTGGCTTTTTTTTT